TGAGGAGAATGGGTGAAATGGCTGATAGTGATGGGTGAAGAGTGGCAGGTGGGTTTGCTAAATTTAGCAGCTACAAATGGAAACAGGAAACAGCCACTCTGGATTTTAGTTTTTTTCTCCTTTTGTTTTCTGGCAAACACCTGTTGTAAGCGGTTTATAGAAAGATTTGTTTGGTCACAAATCCTTAAGCTGAATAACCTCAGTACTGTGGATGTTTGATTTTAGTTGTGCCTAGGATTTTTGTATCGTTATACCTATAAATAAATGCCTTCTGCTGTTGTCGTGCTTTTTTATCAATTTGGAAAGCATAACATTTCCAATGGGTTTTAACTTTAATAAAAGATTTGAAAGCAAATAAAACACTTTATTAAGATCCTAAAATGTCTTTTTGGTGACTTTTAAAAGGTGCGCATCAGGTTTTTGATCAAATCTCCAGATGATCTCCAAATAAAGTGCATTACAGTAATCTAGCCTAGACTTATTGAAGGCATTGGTTACTGCAACAAGGAGCCAGTAAGAATTGGTTTTATATTGGCTTTCCACCTTAAAATAAAAAAAAGTTGTTTTTCTTTCAACTGTCCCAACACTGAAAAAAAAATAGAGGTTGACAGAACTTAAATTTTCTAGGCAACGTGATGCATTTGGTTTTTTGAGTTTTCCTTACTTAAATTCACTGTGGTTGAGTTTACAAAGATTTTTGAGTTCTGCCAACTTAGGTTTTTGGAGTGTTACATAGAAATTTTGAGTTCTACCAACTTAGGTTTTTGAGTTTCACCTTTAAGTTCTGAGTTCTATCAACTTTGTTTTATGAGTTTGACATATAGATTTTGAGTTCTACAAACTCAGATTTTGTAGTGTTATCTGCAAGTTGAGTTCTATCAACTCAGTTTTTTTAGTCCTACCAATCGTCTTCACTACCAATCATTCAACACACAAAAAATTATGTTAATACAACATTTTTATTGCTTCAAGCCAAACATTGCATCAATAGATACAGTATAAAACCATGTTCAACAACATAATCTTAACTGCACAGATCAAAGTAACCTGACACTGGACCAGAATGTTCTAGATTCGTAAGAGTGATGATGAGGGAAAAAACAGTAAGACACCATTTTAGTAAGAGGAAAACACACAGGTAATTTTTTGTGAAGTAAGTGTATTAACATATATGAAAAAATAACAGTTTTACAAATTTGGACGGCCTTCAGTTTGTTTTTTTCAATTGTAGTCTCTTTAAATTGGATGCACCCTTTAAAAAAAAAAAAGAAATAAAATGTCTTGTTTCCCAACGGAAAAAGAAAAAGGTTTTCCCTTTTTATCTCTGAGTTTTTCTTTTTAGTCCTACCACTCCGACAGGACGATGAATGCAAAAAAAGAAAGTCCTCTTCAGTCCAAATCCTTCTCTTCAGTCCAAATCCAGATGTTCACACGGTTGGCTCACCATCTCCATTTAAGGAGAGAATCCAGAATCCAGGGTATCCAAAAAACCCAGCCTGCATAGCACAACAGGGCTTAGTTAAATCCATTCACTTCTTGTTCTTAACTGTACAGTTTATATCTCTCCAAGTATGATAAATTTCAGTGTGTAATGTAACTTTTCTAACTCATTACGAATTAACTGCTGCATTACAGGGTTAACATATAAACTGTTAATGTCACTGTTTTTCTTGTAAAGCAAATAAAATCATGAAAGCAAAAAATCCACATGTAAATAATGTAAATAACAGTAAATACCCACATCGGATTAAGAAAGTAAAATAATGTAGTCTTGTAATATTCTGTGCCTGAGTGCAACAACACTGCACTACATAAAACAATTTAGAAATTTCATAAGTTATTACACTCAACTTAATGTCTCTTTTCATTTGTACAATGAAAATAACAGGCACACTCTTTTCTCTATGCATAAACACTCACCCGCACATGCGCGGCACAAACACGCATGCGCACATGCGCATTATAAACGCGCACGTGCGTGGCTTTTCCTTTCATCAGAACGTGAAAAACATGTCAACTCATGCTTCAACTCGGTGGCAATACACCACAAGGGAATGCTAACTCACGGAGCTAACCGCTAACTGTCTGTACTTTGCAGCACTCACCGGGGAAAGAAAAGATTCAGAAAACTGGTGAGGTCCCAGGGTTGTTCCTCCATGGTTCTCCAGATGCATAAAATCACAATGTCCGCCAATCTTCTCAAACACGAGGGAAAAAGGCTGTGCCCTTGAAGAAAGGGATAGGAAACCCCGTACCGTAGTGGGTGTGTCCATGAACATAAGCAGTGCGCATGCCCATGAGTTTACAGTTGAGGGAACTCAAAAAATCTTGTATAGGCGATTTAAAACTCCTTGTTAAACCAACTTCTGAGAATTTGAGTTGGGCAAACGTGTATTTATTTGTTAGATGTCAAATTTATATTTCTGAGTCGGATTACAATACAATTGTGTGTTAGAACAACAATTGCCATTTACTTTTTTAACAGTGAAATTTGCTGTAAAGCTTAGGTTGCATGTATCAGTTTTACCACCCCGTTTAGTAATGCTATATCTGTCAGGGTCCTTGTGTGTGTGTCTGAGTGCGAGTTATGCATCTCTTCCAGAGAGGATCTTGGTGGAGAACCTGGGTAGTCTACACAGGTGGAGCTCATCAGTCTCATCAGAGTGCTGGGCTTTAAAGAGTAGCAGAGCCTTCACTCGGTGCTGGTTTGTTGTTGATGTTTTCTTGCTTCCTCATCTATTGCATGTTTCCTGGTGTTTATTGGAATTTGTTGTTTTTCAGGTTTTTTAGTATTTTGGATTTTTGCCTCTGTTGCCTTCTCATTAAATCAGCAAAACTCACCTCTGCTACCCATCTCTGAATTTGGGTCCTCAAAGCCTCCACACAACCTGACATTATCTAATACACTGTGGTAATATTATCAATATAGTTCAAATATGAATGTATGTAGAATGATACAGGTGGTTTCGAGTACAGTATCAAACCTAGAACACTCATTTCAAGATGTTTTCTATATGCTTTAAATAAGAAGCTCTCAAGCCTCCAGAAAGCAAAAATAGAAAAAAACACACCTGGACAACTGTGTTTTTAAATTCTGTTTAAAACTGTGGTTCCCTCGAGTCAAGCCTGATGATTTTGATTAAAAGACCCCTTCTGGTCTCTTTTCTCACCAATGTTTGACCCAGTGCTTAATTATCACTACACAACTTCTGTCACAAATTGCTGTAGTCGTCCACCGAAACATGGGCAGAAGGCAGGCAGGAGCGCAACATAAAAAATTTAAACAGACTGAACCTAAGCACCACTTGGGGAGGGGAACAGGGCGCGAACCGAAAGACAACAAAAAAAAGTAAAGAGCAGTGAATAACAAAGGCAGCATACACAGGAAGAGGTGATGGCTGGAGAGAAAAGAGGTGAACTGAATATGGAACAGCTGTGAATGAACATTATCTGGGGGGAAATGGATGGAGGAATGACAAAATACAAGCCGACACAAGACCAACAAAATAAAACACAAGATCTACAGCAGGGAAGTAACAAAGGGACAGATGAGAGGAAAAAAAAAAAAAAAAAGTAAAGGAACACATGGCACTAGAGAAGATTACCTAAATAAAAGAGAATCACTGAATGATCAACTCTATAGGGACAAGGGATTAAACCCAGTTTTTTAAAGGGAACTGTGTTTTGGTGCAAACTGTTGTATTTTGTAAATTTCATCATTGCTCTTTTTATAAAATGTATATGTTTCTAAACCTTTATAGCATCTAAATAATAAATATATATTTCAGGAAGGACTGATTTTCTTTGGCCTTGTTGGTTAGATGTAATGAAGTAAATGGACATGGTTCATATTCTGGATTAGATTAGTTTATTAAAGCAGTTCCTGTAATAAAGCTAAAACTGTGTTAGGGCCTCGGTCAGCTGTCAGCTTTGCAGAAACTAATTAAGTACATTTCAGCAAGCATGATATAAAAAAAATCATTTGCATGATTAGAATTTGATAAAAGACAAATGTATTGATTAAAGATTCAGCTGCGCACAGATTAATCATATAATAAGATCCTGTTTCATATCAGGTGTTAGATATGGATGTTCAAATCATTTATCTGTCATATTCATATGTTTATTTTGATATAATATTCAGCTCCTAAAGAGGGACTGCAGTGGTGGTTGAATGCAAGGTTTGAATTAGCACTTGCAACCTTCTGAAACTCTCTGCTCCAACCACTTGGTCACCACTCAACCAATTATCATTCAATTATCAAATGAAATGAAATTAGGTGTACAACATAGTCAGTTGACCGGTAACCATAAAAAAATAAATAAAAACATAAAAAATTTGGTGATGCTTAGTTACTGACCATTTACAGAAGAAAAGAAAATTGTCAAAATTAAAGAGTGGATAAAAACTTTACAATACTGCTTGAGTTTCTTGTGACTAGTGATTGTGATAAGCAGCTGGGAGGAAGGATGCACTAGTTTTTCACTGAAGGAGCTCTCCTGCTCTACAACAGCTGCATGCATGGGGGTTAAATATATTGTCCAACTGTAATGTTATCTTCTACAATCATTTTGTTCTACCACCTGCACTAAGGTTTTTTGGCATACTAGAAAAAATGCATTAGAAAGGTACCACAACACACTCTTACATTGCAAGGCAACCTTATTTTTAATCTTTTTTTTTTTTTCTTAGTCAGATTTTTCGACATCCATCCAGGGGTATTTCAATACATTAGTGCTTTAACTAAACATTGCTATGATGTGAGCCAATATAATTAACAAAGATTAAGCAAAAAAATAAATAAAAAAATAGGCAAAATTCTAGTTGCCTTCCAATTTAAGTCTGTTTTGTTGTTTCCATGAATTGGATGAATGAGAATAAGTACAGGCATGTTAGAAATCTGTCCTTACTAATGAGTTTGCCTAACATTTTTATTTATGTAATATAGGAGATGGATGGCTTTTAAAAATGTTAAAAAGTGTCTTCAAAGACATAGAGGTCACAGCATCACGCTGTGGTAATGCTTTTCTTCAGCCAGGACAGGGAAACTTGAAAAGTTAAGCCTTTGCATCCTGAGGCTGTGCTGCAGGTTCACCTACCAATAGGAGAACAGCATGACACCAAAGTTACAGCTCAATGATTCACTTCAGAAAATATTCAAATACTAATGCACGATAAATCACCATATATTCTATGACGCTTATCTGTTAGTGTCACAGTAAGGGTGGTGACTTTTTCTAGCAGTCTATGGGCAGGAGGGGGGGTCATAACAGAGCAATAAAGAGACATAAACGCATGTACACTCACACAAGAGCAATTTAGAGAAACCAATCAAACCAAAAAACATGAATATTTTTTGGACTGTGGGAGGAAGACAGATTAACCGGAGAGAATCCATGCATGCACGAGGAGAACATGCAAACTCTATGCAGAAAGACCCTAGGCTGTGAATCGAACTCAAGAGTTTCTTGCTGCAATGAAACAATGCTACAAACTGCTCCACCGTAAAGGCCCCCACCAACACAGATAGGGTTTTTAATCATTAAATTGCTGTCTTTTCCTCCAATTATATATTACTTTGTGCTGTATGGTCACATGGAATCCTTACACAGTGGAATTTTTGATAATGGTACAATGTATGTAGACATTTTAAGGGTTAAAAATAGTTATGAGCACCTTCAAAGCAACCTTTTTCTCCAACATGTTACAGGCTGATGTGCCGCTAGTCTTGGTTTTCTTCATATTGACATCTACTAGGATACTGCATATATTAAAGTGGAAGATATGTAGAGTAATAATAGGTGCACATAAACATGTATATTATCTTATTGCCAGGCATGGAGGAGGTTCAAGGTTAAGTGTAATGAGACCCAGTGGCTGGTATGAGTTCAAGTCACTGCCTGTTAACCTTTGTCACAAGTCTTCCTTCTCTGCCCATCCCTCTTCTGTGTCTTTCTACTTACAAATAATAACAATAAGAAAAGCTAACGCCCCAATGAATATTGAACTCATGTACCCTACATATGAGATACATTAACTATTTGAGAACAGAAAAATGGATTTCACATAATTTGCAAATGCAAGTACATACTTCACCACCACACTGGATTATCCCTTTTTTCTCAATATCAGCAATGAGAGCTTTTAGCTAAAGAAAATTGGCCATAATTCAATTTTAACACACTTAACATCCACTATGCGACAAAAACCTATTATAAAATAACGAGTTGTTTTTATTTACTACTACCTACTCACCTCTGTTTATAAAATATTAAACAGTAGATTAAGTGGCCTTCCAGGCTGCTTCTAATGTAGTATTTAAGAGGTCCTTTCCAGTTCTGCAGTTCAGACTTTTATCACTTTTTAAGATAAAATAGATATATTCACAGATAATTTTCTCAGGGAAAGAAATCAAAAATGTCCATTATTCAACTAAAAGGGAAGAATTATATTACATAATTTTAAGCTTTTTTAACCAGGAAAAAAATTGTGATCTTACAATAATATCTGAACTTTATTTTCAGTGAATTTCATTCATTCTAACTGATTGCAGCTATGCACTGTGTTTTATTTCATTCACTGCACATGTTGTTTAAAAAGGTGTGTTAAATATCTAAGAAGCTTTAAATGGCTGCTGTGTGCAAATCACCCTCATTATTTCTCACCAACATGAGCTGAAAACACAAGCAAAGTTCAGGCATAGTTTGGAGAATATAAGAATCTTTGTATTCTGAAGCCTTCAACTGTTCCAAAATGCTGCTGATGAAAATTAAAAAGAAAGATCATATCTCTCTTATCCTATAGCTTCTCTGGATTCCTATTAAATCCAGAATATAATTTAAAATCCTCTTTCTCTTGGCTTTAAATGGCCAAGCTCCATCTTATATCAGATATCTGATTGTTCCTTATGTTCCAAAAAGAGCACTTTGCTCTCAATCTGCAGGCTTAGTGGTTCCTAAAATTTTTAAAAGTAGAATGGGAGGCAGATCATTTAGTTATCGGGCTCCTCTCCTGTGGAACCAACTACCAGTTTTAGTCCGTGAGGCGAACACTCTGTCTACCGCCAGTGGAGCTGGTTGACAGTTGCCTTTTGTATCTCTGCTTCTTTTTCTATGTCTGCTTCTGTCTCCTTGAACCCCAGCCAGCCTCTGCAAATGGCTGCTCTGAGCCTGGTTCTGCTGGAGGTTTCTTCCTGTTAAAAGGGAGTTTTTCCTCTCCATTGTCGCTACAAGCATGCTTAGTGTGAGGCATTGCATTTGAGTCAATGAGTCAATGCAATCAGCAATTTGACTGTATGATCTGGTTGAATTATAAAGTGCCTTGAGATGACATGTTAATTGGCACAATATAAATAAACTGAATAGAATTTAATTGAAATGTGTCATGGTCTTGTTTCTATTGTGCTTTACTTTGCTCCATGTTTCCTAGTTTTATTGGTTTAACTCCTGTTTTGTTGTAATTTCTAGATTTATGTTAGTTCTCATGTTTTTCTGTTGTCCTCTGTTGCCCTCTTGTGTGTGTGTGTTCCTTTCCCCTTGGCTCCCTCATTGTCTCCTCTCACACCTGCTCCTTATCTGCTCGTTAGCCCTGCCTTTGTCTCAGCTACATATGCTCTCCCTCTGCTGTCACTCTTTGTTGGTTCCTTGTCTTTGCTGTCCTCCCATACTGTTGTTTGCCTGCCTTGTCTCTCCCTGGATCCTCGTGTTTGGTTTCCCCAAAATGTCTCCATAGTTCTGGTTTGCTTTTCATTATTAGTTGGATTTTTGGATTCCTGCCTTTGTTTACTGTTTCACTCCATTAAACTAAAAGAAGTCTCCTCAGCCTCTCTGCCTCTGCATTTGGGTCCTCAAACCTCAACCAAACCCTGACAAATTGTATGAATCTGTTCTCTGGGTATTTGGCTTGCAGTAACTGTCTGCACTATCTGTCTACTCGGGATATCAGTGGTTTAAGTTACATTTTTTTTCCAACACACAGCAAGGCTACAACTGTGTGTTTTTTTTCCAATTTCGTTCAATTTCAGTGGTTACAATCGTATTTAACTAAGTCTAAGTACCTTAGACAGAGCATGTGGATCAACATGAAGTTAAAGAAAAGAACCCAGAAAGAAACAATAATCCCCCAAAATTTGAGAACAAAAGAGAAACAAAGTCATTGATATCTTACTCTGGAACTGGTTACAAAACTGTATTAAGCTTTTGGAATATTAGAAAACCACAGTGAGAGCTATTAAGAGTGCATAGAAAGCTCATGCAGGAAGTCAAAAACAACACAGAGAAACTTAACCAGATATCTCACAAAAAATGGGTTTAATAGGAGACTTCTATGATCAAAAACACTGCTGATTAAAAAAAAAACGAACAAACAAACAAACAAAAAACACAATGGCCTGTCTTACATTTGATAAAATATACAAGAAAAAAAAATAAAAGATGAAACACAGCATACCTACAGTACTGCACGGTGGTGGGAGTGTGATGGCCTGGGGCTGATCTGTACAGCTTGTTGTAATGGATGGGACCCTGAAGTTATGTAGCAGGGAAATGAGTTGAGCCAAACCAGGATGTCCACCTTTGAAGGTGTCCAGAAAAGCAAAAAATGAAACTTAAGCTTTAAAGAATCACGTGTAAGATTTTAATCTAAATCTCATCGAGATGCTGTGGGACACCTTTAACTGGCGGCTCTTGCTTGACAATCCTATAGTGTGGAAGAAATTAAACAATTCCTTAAATAAAATGGATCTAAAATCCATCCTGAGAGATGTTTGAGACAAAGATCAAAAAGATCCAGAATGGTATAGATTAGATTTGTTTCTTCATAGTGCATTAATATAATTAAACAATGTAACTTTGTAAACATGTGACAACTGCCAAAATTTAATATAACAAATTACTACAAAGTGCAAATACCATTATGTTATATCAATTGTAGATAGAAAGCATAAACAGTTAATTGCGTATTTTAGTTCAGAAAACAGTGTAAAGCATTCATTTTACAGCACCCAGCAGAGTAGAAGCCCTCCAACACAAGTAAGAAAGGATAAAAATGGCTATTACAAGCCATTACCACCAACATGGCCAAACCATTTTATTATCTAAAAAGTTGGGAGGGTGTACTGTATAATTTTAGTTTTCTGGGTAACTGGAGAGAGAAAAACACACTAGTGGATTATTATAGTGTGACATAACTCCAGTTTGATGAGTAATGGTACACTTTTAACGGTCACTGCTGTTAATTTATCAAACAAAAGTCTTACAGGAATATGATTCAGAGTTTCTGCAGGGTATAAATGCATGGATTTCATTTAAAGTTGTCTGTGTTGAGTGCGTTGAATGTAATAATCTTCCACCCTCCTGTAAGGCACTTTAAAAGGTGCCTGAATAATACATTGGTGGGTTATTTAGATAGAGAGTAAAAGCAAAGGAAATCTGTCTTGTCTGGCTTTTAAAGGTATACGTAGTTTGAAAAAAAGGATTTGAATTTACCCTGAAAATCTACAGTACCTGATAAAGTTTTTGTCATGGTAGGCAGTTATGTAACATTAAACTAAAAAAATAAATAAAAAATCTCTACTTCTGTTGAAGATTATGGTACATTTAGTGGACCTTACAGAACCTAAACGCCCTGATTAATGCGATGTGGCACAGCTTTACTTTAGCTGCTTGGTGATCTAAATATATAGCTTAAGGTCCAGGCAGGACAACATATCTAAAGCAGACTAAATGGAATGATTATCATTCAGCTTGCATTGAACCACTTTCACACCTAACTTATAAGATGTGAATATAGCAAGAATGACATGCAAAAAAGAATGAAAGATGTCACTTTACTTATAAACTGACTATAATTTTAGATTTGTTTATATTTTCAGCATCTAGCTGAAAACTAGGCAAGACAAGGTAATTTGAATAGCTCAATTCAGTACAAAGACAATTTAAAGTGCTTTACATAAATTAAACAATAAAACAGAAGGAAAATAAAAGCCACTTCAGCACTTTTATAGTCATCTGGATAAAGGAATAAAGTGCTGCTTCTCTATAAAAGACCTGATAGTGTGGGAGGTTGATACACTGACAACAATTTTTTTGTTTAGAC